TTTTACAAATTTAGTTAAAGAGTAGATTAGTGTTTTAAGAGTATTGTGTTGTGTTTTTATTTCAATGTTTAATTTACAGAAAAATCCATTTAATATCTTTTTGAATTTAGTCAATGTGTTTACACAGTTTTTTGGTAAGATTAATTTTTATAGTTTTTCCACAATTTGTTTAAACCTTTTGTTTTATTTTATGTAATTTAAGACAATCTTTTATTTTTAGGCAAAATGTATATTTCTATGTCTTTTTGTAATTATTTACTAAAACACATTTTACTGCATTTATGTACTTTGTATGTAAATCCATTTTCAGTACTCTCAATTATACGTTTTAATGGTAAGTTTTAGTAATTTTTAACTTTAATGTAAAATCTGATAAGTTGTTTTAATTATATCCTAAGTGTAGACAAAGTTTGACTTTTTCTAGTATAGTTAGGGCAGTGGCTATTTCTATATGTTCCCAGGCCTTACCCACTGTAAGGCAGGGAAGTTGAACAGTTCTTAAAGGCCAAAGTAGTTTACAACTTTAAAACATTTAGTAAATCTAGTATTTGACCTGTATAATTTAGACCACCTATCTACATTTTGAAGACATTTGTATTTTATCATTAATTTTTAAGGCTGTTTTTGTTCTTTAAAGATTAAAGTTATGTGAATTGAAAGGTACCATAGTTTTTATATTCTTTTTAAAAAATGTTTGATTCAAGTGTTTATTTTTAAAGTCAATTAATTAGTTTTTTAAAATATAGACATCACACACATAACACATATATGACTACACAAACAGAAGAGGATTCAGTAGTTCAGGGTGGAGTATTTTAAGAATGTACCCTAGAACTTAAAGTATAATAATAATAAGATAAAAAAATAAAAAAGAAAAAGAATACGGCTAGGAAAGGATGTAGCTTCTGGGGCATAGCTGGAAGGCAAAAACGGATTTTGAAAGGGATTTGTCTGTCTCTAATTCTAGGGTTTCTATGAGGAAAATATAGATTTTTCCCAAAAATGGGATCTGTAGCACTTTTTCTGTTTTCTCAAGGAGACTTGGGCCATCAGAAGTTATCTAAGGGCCTTTCATGTATGTACAAAGAGTGGCAAGACAGAGTGGAGAAAAGTCATTCAGTCAACTGAGAAAAAAACCTTTTCCAGAAAAACAAGATTGATGAAGAAAAAAACATAAAGGCCTTTTGAATATATCTGTAGTTTGGATATCTTTTTTTAATTAAGTTGAGTGTTTTTAAAGAAAATCTTTTTTAGTAATTAAATCTTTACAGAGAATATAAACAGTGTTTCTTATCATTTCTTTTTATCAGTTTGTACCATTACCTGCTCACAATTACGTTCAGGTTCTCTAGTTTCTTTTGGGAGAAAGTGACTGGGTTTAGGCAAGGGCAGATTTTCAACTGGACTGTAGATATTTCTAGTAATAAAGTTTGATATTTGAGAAGGTGATTGTTAGAGAGAATTCTTTTAAAGAACAGTAGTCCTGTTATATTGTGTGGGGTGTAAACCGTTATTCTTCTTAACTTGGTGGCCTCTGGCACCAGTAGAGTCACCGCTGTAACTGGAGGCAGGTTGGTCATCTTTTAGTCATCAAGTCAAGTTTGTTGTTTAGGTAGTCCACTGGTTGTTGAGTTGGATCTTGAGTCTTAGTTAAAAGTATCAGGGTATTTCTCTTCCTTTTTGATATATAATGATTAAATATCTTCCGTATTGGAAGACTGAGGGCTGGTATTTTAAGTAAGGCTTTTTTCTTTTTAACTGGTTAAGGTTTTTTGAGTTTTAGGTTCCCAAGTTAGGGAGTGAGTTTTAGATGTTTGAGGTTTTTTTAATGAGGTGGTATAAAGGGTGAGTTATTTCACCATACCCACATACCCATAGTTTATAAAATCCAGTAATGTCTGAGAATCCCCTTAATTGTTTAAGAGTTTTGTGAAAGGGAAAAAAGGAAATGGGCTTAATTTTTTTCTCATCTGGTGTCTGGTCCATTCTGATAAGACTAGACCTAGGTATTTTACTGAAGTTTGATAGAGTTAAATTATAGATTTTGAGACCTTATATTCTCTTTCAGTGAAGAAATTAAGAAGAGTTTCAGTGTTTTTTTTGAGACATCTTTGGTTGGGGCACAGAGGAGACTGCTATTTATATGCAGTAAAGTTTTAACTTGAGGGTGAGAAAAATCAGAGAGATTTTTGGACAGGGTCTGTTTCTGTAACTTCCTTATGATATTAGGGGCTGTTTGAGTAATAAATCTGTACTTTATTGTATTGGTAGACAGGGAGGTGTGTTTTATTAAAGCTTTTCTCAGCCCTTCCATAAAGGCTGAGGGATTTTTATCTGGATTTTTATTTAACATAGATAGTTTAGAGTAATTAAGATGTTTGGTTCTGTTTTTTTTGTAAGTCTTTTAATATGCACAATAGAAATTTTTTTTTTCTTTCATTCATCTATGGGGTCACTAGGGCTCTAATTAGGATTTACAAGGGGCACTGTTTCTCTTCCTATTGGGAATTGGGATCCTGTCTCTTTTTCACCTCTTTACCCTTTTGACTGGGTTCTTTTTTTGAATGGTTATAGGAGACATGTTCATCTCCGAATGTTCCTGTTGTCTGTAGGGTTGTCTGTTTCTTGGTAGTAGTTAGGGTTTGGCTTAGGAGTAGTATACTATCTCTCCTTGTAAGATTAAATACTTGTGTTAGATTTTGGAAAGCCTTTATATATCTCTCAGGGTTATCAGAGAACTTGTCTAGGTCCCTCTTTATTTGTCTAAGGTCCTGTAATGAGAAGGGAACTTGAACCCTAGTAGTACTATGTCTGCTGGGCATTTCTTGTAGAGGTAACAGTGAATTTAGGGGTTTCTTGGGTGGCAAAACTGGAGGAGCTGATGATATGGCTATTGGGGCCCTGGATAGGTGGGGCAGGGAGGGCACCTAGAAGTTATATTTGTCTCTCTGACTTTGGGGAATTATCTTTTATAGTTTTGTCTGATATGGCTGTCAAGAGGGCAGGGTTAATTTTACAATGCTTATAAAGATTTGGGTTGTCTTGCAGGGCAAAGAATGTTTGTATATAGGGAACCTTGGACCATTTGTCCTCCCATTTGTAGAAAAGATCTAGTTGTTGGATAGTATTAAAATTAACACTTTTCTGAGGAGGCCAGGCTTCCTGCCTGTCTTGTAGTTGGTCATCTTATGACCACACCCTTGTGTAACAGAATATAAGTTGTTTTTTCTTCTGAGTCTCAGGGTCAAAGGAGTTCCAGTGTTTCAGAATATACTTGAGAGGAGTGTAGACTGTGGATGGTTTGTTACCCATCTAGAAAGATAGGGGAGACAAAGGCATCCCTTAGTCTTCTCTTTCCCTTCTGAGTGACCTAGGGTGGAGAGAAAGAAAGAAAGGGCATCTTCCTTCTCCTCTTCCTTCCCCTGTCCTCTGGGTCTTGGTAACCATCATAGGTTTCACCCATAGATGAAAGCGTGATCTTCACCCATGTATCTGGAGGACCTAGTTGGCAGCATTAGTCATGTTCACCTGTATAAGGTCCTAGTTTTCCACCCTGCTGGTTTCCTAGGCCCACTCAGCCTAAAAGCCTTCCAAGGTAGCCCAGGGGTCTGGGAGAGATTATGTTGTAGTTGGAGTTGGGCAAGAATCTTTAAGGGAAGGAGTGTCTAAATACTATCTCTGGCTTCCCTTGTTATGGTCCCGGTGAAACACTGGAATCCCAGAGACTGGGACCAATTGACTTCTAAATATAAAATCTTTTTTTTTTTTTTGTTTAAATCACAATGTAGTTGGATGTAGAACAGGTGCCCCAAGAGAACATAAAGATTGAATAGCTCTCCTTCCTTTGATGGGGACAGTAAAAAGGCTAAAATCTGTTTTGCCAGGATGGCTTCCTCTGGGCTATTGAAAGTGGAATTTTCTTGACAAATAGGGTATGGGGACTGATCACTGACAGAGGGACTTAAGAGAGAAAAGAATTGGGAAACTTGAGGTTTCGGGCAAAGGGTTGACAAGGCTCCCCAAGGAGAAAAATTCCATCCCACTAGGTGGTGCTATAAGGTCTGAAATGTTAGACAAAAATTCTGATTAAATTCTTTTCAGGCAAAAGTTTAAAAGAGACATCTGGGGCTTTATAGGATGTCTCCATGGCATGTCTCTTAGTAGAAGAAAATTAACTTGTTTCATAGAAAGCCTGTCTAGTTCTGTTGGACAATGTTGGCTTTTCACATGGGAAAAGAAAGAGTTTAAATGAAGGGGGGATACTTGTCCTGGGAGAAATAACCCCTCGTCTAACCCCATTAAGTGTTATCATTGGGAGATAAATAGGTCTCCAGATCCAGGTCTTGGAATTTCCCCATTTCAAGGAAACCGAGAGACAATAATTCATTGAATTGCATTTCTGATTACTAAAGCACCGGCTGACTTTATCCGACAAGACTATATCACCAGGTTGTAAAAACACCCACATCATTGTATACAAAGAATGGATAGGCGACAAGACTATATCACCAGGTTGTAAAAACACCCACATCATTGTATACAAAGAATGGATAGGCGACATGATAGTCGAGAAAAGCAAGGAAGAAAATGCAATAGAAAAGTCTGGAAGTCCTGGCCCTGGCACCCGATGGAATATCAGGGACTGGAGTTAGTCCAGGGGCCTTCAGGCAACACCAAGGTGTAGCCTTGGCCAGAAGCCTTCAGTTGCCTCAGGACCTCCTTCCAGTCCCATGGGACTGCTAAGCCTTCTGTGAAAGGAAACTGGATTGGAACAGAGCCAACATTCCCAACAACTGAGAGGAATGGGGATTGAGAAAGTCCTCTCCAGTAAGCCTGTTCCCTGAGTCTTAAGGCCGGAAGCCACCCTATTAGTTTTTTAATTGGCCGACAGGGGCCCAATGTTTTGTTTGTTTCTTGAGAGAAAACAAAAACAAAAAAACAAAAACTGAGGACAAACCTCCAAAATGAAAGTAAAGAGTTAAATGTCCACTCTTACTCACCCTTTAGATGAATCCTTTTCTTTCCCAGCCAGTGCACCAAAATATGTTGTAGTCCTGTCAATGTATTAAAATATGTAGTAGTCTTTTGTTGTTTGAGATAGTATCTGAAGTTTTGTGTCTCACATCTAAGAGAATTATGGAGTGTGGACACAAGCATGAGGTTGGAATGAAAGTTCAATAAGTGAAAGAAAAAAGTTCTCCATAGTGGAGAGGGGGAGCCAAACGGGTTGTCCACTATGAGGCTAGGGTCTGGGGTTTTTATGTATTGGGAAGGGGAAGGAATATTTTGTCTGTGGGCTGTGTTGGAGAAAGTGTGATTCAGTTTGGCCTGGAATCTTGACCTGGGACCAGTCAGGAGTTGAAGTGATGATTCACAGGGGCTACTCAGTTTGGCCCAGGACCTATCAGCAGTTGAAGTGATGATTCGTAGAGGCCAGGCTCACAGTCCAAAAAGGAAAGGAAAGTGTCCACTGGACCCACCATATTCATGCCCACAAAAGGAGAAGAAACGTTTTTCTGGGAACCTGTTGATTATATAAAGGACAAAGGCATTTCTATGTCAGGCTTTCTTTCTTTATCTGAGTGAGTCGGAAGTTTTTGTAAGTTTTTATCTGAATGGGCTGGAGGTTCTCCTATCTGTGTAGCTATGGGCATGTCTCCAGAAACAACCACCTGTGTTAGTTGCCTTACTGGTGCCCGCAGTTTGATTTTTTTCTCAGGCGGTTTTTTGTGTTATGTGGGGATGAGGCACTGACTTGTGGGTCAGGGGCTCTCCAGGGACGCATCCCTCATTGTCTACCTAAGGCAAGTTAGTTAACTCCTCTCAGCCTTGGTCAAGCAATAGAAAAATGTTTGTCCTGGGCAAGAGAATGGCTCCATTTTGGTGCCTTAGTGACCATGCAGGGCAAATGCAAATTTGTGCAGGAGGCCACAGGGGAAAGACTTGAACTGCAGCTAATCTGAGTCTTGGCAGAACATCTTGTGATTCTCCTAAAACATGAGAACATGGGATGCTTGAGGCCACCTCCCACTCTTCTTCTTATTTACAAGGAGGCTGTCATGAGACAGTTTCTCATTGCCTTCTGAGTTTTGATATGATATGAATTTTTCTGTCTTGCCCCCTTGGGGTACAACTGCAGGTTATAAAACTGCTTAACTGCTGCATAGCTTTGGCTCCTCAGCAATAGGGTGTCCCACAACTCAAGACACAAACTTCCAATGGCCCCCTGTGTTTGGTTTTGGCTACCTTGGTGTGTAGGACCAGGACCACGGGGAGCTGGTTCCTTTGGCTACTCTTCCTTTCACTGTGTATGTATGTAGTAAACTTTCTAAATCTGAAAAGGGCTTGTTTCATATTTACTGGCATAATTTGTCAGATCTTGCCTTGCCTTACTTTTCTGCTCAACACCCTATAGGTAGAGTGTATCTATTTTTTCCACCTTTCCTGAGAGGCTTTAACAAATATGATCATATTCTTTAAGCAAACAGATTTATGTATAGTTTATTGGGTCTTCATACTCACCATGACAATAAAGTATTAAACAGATATGAAAACTGAGACACAGAGGGGCTAATCAATTTTCTCAAAATCACAGTAAGCAGTGAAAACTGAGACACAGAGGGGCTAATCAATTTTCTCAAAATCACAGTAAGCAGCTGAGCTCAGTCTAAATTCAGATATGGTTTTTAGTTCAGTGCTCAATATTCTTACTGTTGCACATTTATAGTATATATTACTGCTGTCAAGGTTGCTACATTTTTGATGACAGATAATTAAATGATCTAAGAATTGACCCATTGAGACAGAATCATTTCTCTTGTGTGGCAGCAAGCAATGCTATGTAATAATCTTATAATACTCTTTATATAGTTTGGCTTATGTTTCTCTAAATGTATTACTATACTTTTCCACATTGAGGTTCATCTTACACTTTCCTGACCACTCATTGCATGTTTCTGCAATTTTCCACTGCTGACTTGGCATAGTTTACTTGAACAAATCTACTGCAAAATTGGTATGTTCTCTGTCTTCCACGTCTTTTATAAAAGTATGAACTAAGATGGATCCTAGTACTGAATCCCAGGTTTTCCTACTCTGAAAAACAAAACTTCTATGATAAAATTTCTCCCTCCATCATATATAGTGAACATGTTTTTAAAAGTGGTTATGAATGTGTATTCCAGTATTGTTTGTAATAATGAACAATTATAAACGCCTAAATATCCATCAGTAGAGAATTGGATTAATAATGTATCAACTAGGCCAGGCGCGGTGGCTCACGCCTGTAATCCCAGCACTTTGGGAGGCTGAGGCGGGCGGATTATGAGGTCAGGAGATCGAGACCATCCTGGCTAACACAGTGAAACCCCGTCTCTACTGAAGAATACAAAAAATTAGCCGGGCGTGGTGGCGGGCGCCTATAGTCCCAGCTACTTGGGAGGCTGAGGCAGGAGAATGGCGTAAACCCAGGAGGCGGAGCTTGCAGTGAGCCCAGATCATGCCACTGCACTCCAGCCTGGGAGACAGAGTGGACGCCGTCTCAAAAAAAAAAAAAAAATGTATCAACCACACAATGGAATACCTTGTAGCTATTAAAAATAGTAATGTAGATGCATAACTACTAATGTGGGTAAACAACTATTGTAAAATTTTCACATTAAAAATGTGACATTTTCTGTGTATTGGGATGTGCACATGGCATCCACCCAATAAGTAGAAAAACAACAAGGAAAAACACCAAAAGTTTAAAAGTGGTTTCTTGGGGTAGTGTGAATATAGGTAAGTTTAAAAATGAACATGTGTTTTTATAATCAGAAAAAAAATCTATTTCCATTGTGAGAAAGTAAAAATGGTAAGAATTACCCTTAAGTAAAAACACAGCAGCTGCTTTTCAAAAATTTCAATAATTTGGAGATTGCAAAATGTTGGACAGAAGGTTTTCTTTTAATTTTATTTAGTTGCCTGCATTTAAAGATGTGAGGGGTCAAACATAAATCTAAATTTCCAGCTTTACTTGAATAATCAGAAGATCTGGACAGCCATCATAGTCTCACATGGCAATTACTGGCTGAAACGGAGGGGTGGCCACTCCTGTTAGTTGGGACAGGTTCTCTTCAGTGAACCATAGTCTTTGCTTGGCAGCCAGTGCTCACGTGTGGTAACTGCCTGACCAAAGAAATATTGACTTGCAGGTGTCCACAAGCCCTTTTGTCTTCTCCATCTTCTCTGCCGCCTAATCCCCCTTCCCAACTGTGGAGCAGAGAAACCATCTCACCTTCAGCTGTGCATATGTAAAGACAGAAGCATGTGTGCACTCCTGTGTAAGAAAGTGTCAAGAGTTAGGTGGGAGAAAGCATACACAAACATGTCATATTTCAAAACAAAGTGAGCCTGAGGTCAGTGTCAGTAGCCAAGGTACAGAGTCAGGGAAAGTGAGAAAAAGGAAATGCAGGTCAAAATAGGCAGGCAGGTTAGCCTTAGCAAAGGTCAGAAGAGAGGGTTATTACATCTTCCCCACAGCATGCAATATACCCATGCAACAAACCTGTACATATATCCCCTGAATCTAAAATAAATGTTAAAATTGTTTTTTTAAAGAAATATGTTTCCACGTGAAATATCATGGTGGTTTCTCTCCAATACATAATGCTTGCTTAAGCACTAATGATAATACTTTAATCAGAATATTGAAGAAATAATATATATATATACATGATCCAGAAGTCCAAATTAAACGTAAAAATATATGCATACATAAAAATTTCACTCTCACCCTTGCTCCTATACACCATATCCCCCTGCTCTTTATAGCAGCACTGTCCAATAGAAATTTCTGATAATGAAATGTTCTATATTGGCACTGTCCAATACAGTAGCTAGCAGCCACAAGTGGTGATTTAAATTTAATTTTTTGAAATCAAAACATCACTTTCTCAGTTTCACTAGGCACATGTCAAGTGCTCAAGAGCCACGCATGACTAGTGTCTACCATATTGGACAGCACAGCCTAATAGTTTATTGTTTATCTTTCCAGAGTTTCCGTATACAAATATAAGGAAATAAATATTGGTTTTTATTTCAGATTCCATCCACTTTCCCATAATGGAAATAAAATTTACCAATCTTTGGTTTGCAAGATTCTTTCAGAAACAAGTCTTATGAATGTAGGACACCAGGCAATCTGACAATATGCTAGTACAGTGGCCATAAATTGACAGTAATACATACATTTTGGCCAAAAGTTCTGCCTTAAAGCTCTGTGATTTTGAGCAAGTTACTTAACTTTTCTGGGTCTATTTCCTCATCTGTAAAACGGAAATAATGTTACCTATCTCATGGGTATTGTGAGGACTAAATGAGGACATAGATATATAATTTAGAATGGTGCCTACCTAGTACATAGTGATAAATAACAGGCATATCTCATTTTATTGCACTTCACTCTATTGCACTTGGCAGATACTGTGCTTTTTATAAATTGAAGCCTTGGAGCAATTCTGCATCAAACAAGTCTATCAGTGACATTTTTCCAACAGCATGTGCTCATTTTGTGTCTCTGTGTCACCTTTTGATAATTCTTGCAATATTTCTAACTTTTTCACTATTATTATTTCTGTTATAGTGATCTTTGATGTTACTATTGTAATTGTTTTGGGGTAACATGAACTGTGCTCATATAAGATGGCAGGCTAAATCAGGCCTCCCTATTCCCTGAGACATAACAATATTGAAATTTGGCTAATTAATAACTCTATGGTGGCCTCTAGGAGCTCAAATGAAAGGAATAGTCACATGTCTCTCACTTTAAATCAAAAGCTAGAAATGATTAAGCTTAGTGAGGAAGGAAAGTCAAAAGCTAATATAGGTTAAAAGCCAGGCGTCTTGTACCAGACAGTTAGCCAAGTGGTGAACACAAAGGAAAAGTTTGTGGAGGAAATTAAAAGTGTTACTCCAGTGAACACGTGAATGATAAGAAAGCAAAACAGACTTATTGCCCATATGGAAAAAGTTTGAGTGGTCTCCATAGAAATTCAAACAAGCTGCAACATTCCCTTAAGCCAAAGCCTAACCCAGAGCAGGGCCCTAACTCTCTTCAATTCTGCGGAGGTTGAGAGAGATAAGGAAGCTGCAGAAGAAAAGTTGGAAGCCAGCAGAGGCTGATTCATGAGATTCAAGGAAAGAAGCTATCTTCCTAACATAAAAATGCAAGGTGAAGCAGCAAGTGCTGATGTAAAAGTTGCTGATGTAAAAGTTCTAGATTATCTAGAAAATCTAGCTAAGATAATTGATGAAAGTGGCTACACAAAACAACAAATTTTCAATGCAGACAAAACAGCCTTATATTGGAATAAGATGGCATCTACAACTTTCACAGATAGAGAGGACAAGTCAATGACTGGCTTCAAAGACTTAAAGGACAGGCTGACTTTCTTGTTAGAGGCTAATGCAGCTGGTGATTTTAATTTGAAGCCAATTCTTATTGACCATTCCGAAAATCCTTGGGCCCTCAAGAATTATGCCAAATTTAGTCTGCCTGTGCTCTAGAAATGAAACAACAAAGCCTGGATAATAACACATCTGTTTACAGCATAATTTACTGAATACTTTAAGCCCACTACTGAGACCTACTGCTCAGAAAAAAAGATTCCTTTCAAAATATTATGGCTCATTGACAATGTAACTAGTCACCCAAGAGCTCTGATGAAGATATACAAGGAGGTTAATGTTGTTTTCATGCTTGCTAACACAGCATTCATTCTGTAGCCCATAGATCACGGTGTAACTTTGACTTTCAAGTCTTACTATTTAAGAAATACATTTCATAAGGCTATAGCTGCTGTAGATATTTATTCCTCTCATGGATCTGAGCAAAGAAAATTGAAAACCTCTGGAAAAGATTCACCATTCTAGATGCCATTAAGAACTTTCATGATTTCTGGGAGGAGGCCAA